CGCGTTCACCCACGACTGCGGGTAAGTGATTGGAAGTGGCTTGGCAAGTGCATCCGCTAGCTCCTTCAGTACTCTTGGGTACAACCCCTCTGGCCCCGTAGATGTGTTGATGTTTAGGTGGTGTAGCAGGTCACTGACCGTTTCCTCTTGGATTATGAAGGTCCCATTCTGTGCCACCTCCCCGTTTTCCAGCTCAGGGGACTGGGTGTCCAGGGAACAACTAGTTTGAATGTTAAGACTGAGTCAAAGAAGGCATTTAGCACCTCAGCCTTTTCCTCATCCTTTGTCACTCTGTTTCCCCCTGAATCTAGTGAAGAATGGAGTTTCTCCCTAGTCCTCCTTTTGTTATTAATGTATGTATGCAAAGATTTTTTCTTGTCTTTGACAGCAGTAGCCAGTTGAGTTCAAGCTAGGCTTTGGTCCTCCTAATTTTCTCCCTGCATTGCCTTACTCTATTTCTGTAGTCCTTGTGTGAGGCCTGTTCTCTCTTCCAGAGGCTACAAACTCTCCTTTTCATCCTGAGCTCCAGCCAAATCTTCCTATTCAGCCAGGCGGGTCTTCTTCCCCAACAGCTTATCTTTTGGCATATGAGGACAGCCTGCTCCTGTGCCTTCCTTTAAAACTTCCTTCTTGAAGTATGTCCAGCCTTCCTGGACTCCTTTAAGTTTCATTACAGTCTCGCAAGGGACTTTGTCGATCAGTCTCCTGAACAGATCAAAGTCTGCCCTCCGGAAGTTCCAGGTGGCAGTTTTACTCATCCCCCTCCTTACTTCTCCAAGAATTGAAAACTCTGTAAGTTCATCGTCACTGTGCCCTAGACTTCAGCCTCTGCACGTAGGGACTTCAACTACACAAAGTACCTTGATTACGCAAAAGGACGTAAAGAACTACAGATTTAATTCTAATTATTTTTTTATTATTTTACATGGAAGAAGTGAAGCACAAGGTACTTTCAATTTTTCATTACCTCCTTTCACCTTTCCATACCTTTTTCTCAAGAGGTGGTTTAATATGGTTTCTGTTGTAATGCAGGTGTCTACTCTGAAAAATTATACTTCAGAATAATTGAGATCACTTAGAGAAAAGCTAGTCTTGAAACACCAGGCCATAGGCTTCAGCCTCCCAAAAAGGAATGAAAAAACAGAATGACACTGAAGGTGACAGTGCAAAAAAAAGAACTATGTACCTGCTCCCACTAAGTAGAAATACACACCATTCAAGTCTACAGCAAAATCAGCCTCTTTATACTTCATACATCTTCCTTTGTTGAGAAAATACTTATCTTGCTTCAGTCAAAATGTGATTTCCCCATGTTATATAACTAACAAACGAACACCAGCTTAGGCCTTCTTTCTATCCTCCCTCACAATTTCCTACTCAAAGTATTTAATTTTAAGAGTACTTACTTTATTAGGGGGAAAAGAGTTAAGTGGAAACAACATATCTAGCACTAATGCAAAAAGATCATATACATAAGCCTACTGTGAGCACCTACTTATTTCCCAGGAACAAGTGCTGCTTTGAAAACTTGCCTGTAGAACTGTGCTTGTCTTAAGATACATGAACATGGGGAAATACACCTGCCTGTCACCACAGACTGAACTTCCTGGGTACTGTCTGTCAATCTTGGTATGTTCGTAACTTTCCTCAGTGTCTGCAATTTTGAAATTATACATTGGTCTGCAGTTCAATATGTACACTGGCAATCAAGCAACCTGACTTGGGCATGTAGATTTTCACTTGTAAAAGACCACTTGCACACACTTTTTTTTTTTTGCCCTTGCAAAACCCTCAAAAGCAATAGGTGAAAAATATTGCCTGAAGAACTGAAAAACAGTTTTTATTTCGTTGCCTAGTATCCCCATCATTCAAAAAGCTATGTACTAAGGAAGGAGAAGTTGTCTTTTGCACAAAATGGCAACTATTGGAAACTGTCTTGATTTACAACAGATGACAAGGTGTTAGTTTCTTCTGCTTATCACTGTTTCATCCAGTTTTATTCTGTCCCTGTTTGTGACAAATAACTAAAATGATTTATACACAGACATATGAATGCACATCTTTGTCTTCATGCTAAGCTCACACCTGAGGGGCTTCTCAGTTAACCTGAAATGCATTATATTAAGTTTTTGATGATGTGTTTCCAAAACATGTGTCAGCTTTTTCCTAGAAGAACTTACCATGAAGAGCCAGCAAATCCATTACACCACGATAAACACACAAACTAAGAGTCCAATGCAGCTAAGCCTGTGGTTCTGCACCTCTCTGGAAGGGCCTTAAAAACTGTTTCACTTTTTAATAAAAAAACTAAAGTGTGTAGCAATGATGCTCCCCCCTTAACAATGACAAGCAATTAAGAAGTGTAACAGCTGGCTTTGCTGTAGGCTCTTACTTAGCCAAAGCCAGAAAAAACTCCCTCTACTGACATTTGCAGTAATTGGTGTGTTATTCAGGGTACAGTAATTGTACTGCAGGTTTATATTAAGGAAATGCTGTCCTTTTGTGGCTCTCACTGAATATACGCAACTGGCAAAATGCTTTTCTCAGACCGAACAGGCAGCTGTAGATTTCAGAAAAGTTAAGAATTGTATATTCATCACCACATTGCTAACATAAAGGTGGAAGTAATGTTTCCTATGTTAGTCAAAATAAAGTCCGTACAGTAATTCTATAATTAACAGATTTCTCCTGCACAGAAATTATTTCAGAAGTGCATCATGATTAACATTTATTTAAAGGAAAGTTTTAGCTTTGGCGATTACAGGCAGTGTTTTATGTCCACAAAATAAGTATGTTTGGCCTCACTGCTGTTTATTAGAATGTGCTGTTAGTCAGTGACTAACTAGGATACCACTGACTAGCTAGGAGCTAATAATATTCTATCTGGGGGGGAAAAAAAAAAAAAAGGAGGACAAAATTAATTCTTTGAACATATTTGTATATGTCCATATGTGTCCATAATTTTTGCAACACACTTCTGAGCAAACAGAAGCTAATGATTGGCCATATTCATTGCAAGAAAAATGTTAAATCCATTCCCTGCTTAAATATTTTTCTATCAGTCCTCACATGCATTTGCATATTATCAACCATATAATGAACTGCAGTCCTATTGCAATCATAGCTGTTGCATTTAACTCATTGTCTCAGAAACTGAAGAAGTTTGCATGAGATGTATGAAAAAAGTGTTTTTTTCCTTTACAGAGAAAGCGTGTGCTGTCAGTGTTTGCAGTACACCCACAAAGATTTCTCTTTAATCAGTGTTTTACTCCTTCAGAAGGGATAATAATGACAAAACAAAACAAATCCAATAAGGGACATATTGTACTGCTTTGACATCTGCTGCAACAACAAAGAACAAGGTGATAAAGGGATACACTGCAATCTCTTCAGCTTTCCTGAAAAATTAAGAACTGTTTGCAAAACTTAATGACTGCAAAAAAATTGTTTGTTTGTTTGCTTTTTCTTCCCTTCTTCTTGTCCCTCTTTCTCTCTTTTCATCTTAAAAGAAAAAAACACAGACCAGCTGCAGTATTTGCATTAACACCAGGGAAGAGTCAGGTTGGCTCTAGCACCTGTCCTTCCAGCAACAAGTTCAAGATAGTTTGCCACATTA